CCCAAGCGGGTAGGATATGTTATTTTTTTTTGGTTCGGGGCGGCGTAGCCGCCCCGAACTCAAGCATTACTGTCTACACACTCCACTGTCCACATACGTTATGATTTATTTGGAATACAACTATAATAGAAACATTGCACGAGTAACTAATTCATTTTTTAATTTGATTTTAAATTTCGTGCACTATTGGACCCAAGAATCGCTAAACGCATGCGCATTAAGTCACAGAGCATGAAAAGGCATACTCATAGCGCTTATATCGAGTCGGTATGACAGATTTCCTAACCTGAATGGTCGTGAACTTTAACGCTAAATATCTCGGTTCGCGGGGCAGAGCGACGCTTATTTCTGCCAGATTCGTTCGTTTCATGCAAAAACGCATCGAATGAGCCTAATTTCATTAAAATCGGTGAGGTCGGCCGTCATCTCCGTAATTACCATAAAACTACCTGATCTGATATACAGTAAGGCTGGCCGCATAGGTAGCACCAGTTCAAGCAAACTTGTCAACTTGTCATGCTTGTGCGAATTGCACGAACGTGTATGGTACCTTGCGATAACTAAGCAGTTCTGTCATCTACATGTTCCAATAAATTTGCACAGGCATACATGCGTGTATGTACAAGCATTCAATATATATGTTTTTACATTTAACTTAGCCAATTTTATATACAGCAGTTTTTGGTGTGCACTAATCCAGTTAATGCAAGAGATCAAATTTGTTATTGTGACAAAATGCATTAATTAAGGTCTGTTTATGTTGCTTAAAATCCCCTAAAATTTTTACATTTAAAATGTAATAAATATACATTCAAATGTTGAAGAAAGAGAAGGCACAGTGCTGAGTGCAAAAAGTACAAGCAATGTGCAAACAGATGTTCTGATTAGATTATAAATGTGCTTCACATGCTCTGATTTACAGATATAGTCGGGACTTAAAAGGTTGCAACATTTTTTTTCGATGAGTTTCGAATGCAGCTTGCTCAACGAGGGATTAGTTCTTAGGCCGGTATTCATAGTCAGTTCTTATATTCAAGATCGTCTTAAGTCCAGTCTTGAGATGTCACGAATCAATCAGAGGACCGTATTTGCGTCTTAAGACATTACTTAAGACAGTCTTGAAATAAGATCTGAATACCGGCCTTATTCATGGATTGAGAAATAAAAACCAATTGCTCGGTAAGTAGGCTGCATTCCAAAACCCATTTTAAAAAAAGTGTTGCAACCTTTTAGTGCCTGACTACATACAAGTTGTTTGCACAGACATATCAGGTGCATTTAGTACTACGACCACTCATTGAGCGCTCAGTGAGCTCTTGTACCTGTTTGGTCTATGTCTTTAGTTCTAACAGAATATGTCGATAAGATGCAAGTGTTCACTGAGCGCTCAGTGAGCGGTTGTAGTACTGAATGCATTTTGAATGAATTTTCATATTTGCTTAGGTTGTTTGTGGAAGCCAAACTAACTGTACAGTTTTTTGATATACACAATTCAAGTGTACAAGCGGTTTGCTTGCACAAATATACTTCACAAGTTTCTTTGAACGTGTGTGGCCAGCCTAATGAATGAATATAAAACCACAAACAGTAAAGAAAGAAAATTGATGTGCGTGCGTGGGTGTTTTGCTAAGAGGACTAACCTACAGAAATGAACATCGAATTGGGACAAAATTTTTACAAATTTTTTGCAGGTGAATGTGTGAAGATACATCAGATTAAAAATGCCAAGTTCGTATTTATATGCCATTAATAATGAAGGGCGTGTGTTTGGATTATCGACGTCGGGAAATATGTGGCGGGAATTTATGTATTTAGGCCTTGAATTTAAACAATTATCAGCTGTACCACATTTTATGTGGGCCATTGGCGGTGATCGTCAAGTATATGTTCACGTCCATGGCTTAGACGTACCAATTAGAATCAAAGAAGAAACTTATGAGAATGAGGTATGTCTATCTAAAATATACCATCATAAGTTAATAATTGAATGAGATAGCACATTAATCAACTACAATTGATGATGATAATAAACAATCTCAGCGATGGTTGCCTTTGGAGGGTTTTTCTGGAAGACTGCTTCCGACTGACAGGTACAATTTTTCCAATCAAGATGGTACAGTTGATCGTAGTAGAGACAAAGTGAAATTACCATCAATGGCTTGGCAATGGGAAGGTGATTGGCAAATTGAGACAACGTTAGATGGTCAGCCATTAGATCATGATGTAAATACAGTCCCTAATGCTTATAAAATCTATATTGCTGTATTATGTGTTTCTTTTTCTGTTTTAATTTACGATTTTATACATTTAATATTGTTATGCTCGCGCCATGCTGTTTCTGAGCGAGCCGAGACAAGTGACGAGCGGAATAAATAAAATTGAAGAGCGCGTCATATCGAGACTACCAGTTGCTTAGCTGTCAAACCGACGTCATTGATTTTGTAGATGAGCCGTCGCTACGTTCGGACATGCTCCAAGACTGCTAATGGCGCTAATTCGTATCTGTACGCTACTCGTAATCTTTCGCCGTTGTGCATTAACAAATAAAGAATCTCGCTTTCTTTAAACGTGTGTCTTTTTTATTCCTGCAACTCGGGAGTACGCGTACGGGTTTACGAGTACGAATTAGTGGAACGGTCATGCGAGTGCAACAATATGTATAAAATGAACCTTTATGTAATTATCGCTTTTAAAAGAGAGGTAACTTTTGGCTACTTAATTGTATAAGTAAACTTTAAAAAGTAATTGCGATTCCGAAACATCTTTGTAGAGAAAGCTTAATATTTTCTACTTTGTTTTCACAACATAGAATCTATCTAGAGTTATACACTAAATATATTTTTTGCGCATTCCGTAAGTGTTATATTTTTCATAAGATTTTGTTTATGTATAGATTTGTTAACAGTTGTGCCCACGACCAAAGAAAATCTTATCTTGATCACAGAGAATCTGATGTTTTAATAGGGATGGACATACGCAATTGACTTTCCAGCTACATATACTACAAAAAAACAGTGGAAATCTTGTGTAAGAAGACGTAAATGGGTTCGTTATCGGAGATATAGCGCTATGAATTCATGGTGTGCTATTGCACCTCTACATAAAGATCCAACTAAGGTGATGAAATACTATAATATTTTTCTATCCGTTTTTGACAATGTAACGCATACACACACACACACACACACACACACACACACACACACACACACACATATATATACATCTATATACACACGAGTGCCACATATGTTTTCAGGAACCTTTTATCGATATAGCAGTGGGTGGAAATCAAATGCCTGGAAGTAATTCGGGTAATTTAGTAGTCTGGGCGGTAACGGCTCACGGAAGGGTATAACTTTTTTTTTATTATAGCTTTCCGAAAATATTTCAGAAATTAGATTATTATTTGTATCAATTTATGTTCGATTTGTAGATCATGTTCCGTGTTGGAACAAGTACAACCTGTCCTGAAGGACAAAGATGGAGCTCTATCAAATTGGCAAATGGCTACGAAGTATGTCAAATTAGCGTTGGAGCAACCGGTCTTGTTTGGGCTGTACTTATGGTAGGCAAAGCGTTAGTTCGTACAGGTGTGACAAGAGACAATCCAATGGGTAAATGAACAAGAGATAATCTAGTTGCATTGAGATATTCTAGTACTTTGATAAAATGGCATGAATTAAAGGTGAAAATTGGTCGGAAGTGGAACCACCGCAGAAAGACTTGAGATTGGTACAAGTTAGTGTCGGTACTGATGCTGTATGGGCTATAACGCATGATGGCGGAGTATGGTTTCGAAAGGGCATTCAAGGTGAAATAAGTGGCGTTTGTGAACAATTAGCCACTGGAACTGGTTGGGTTGAAATGTTAAGCAAAATGGCATTAATATCCGTTGCTCCAAATGATCAAGTAACGATGTTAATCAATTCGCAACTTATATCACAAAAAAAAATAGAAAAATATATATCGGATTGTATATGCACTTTTTATAGCTAACTCTCTTTATTTCTGTATTATGATGAAGGTATGGGCCATTGGCTATGACGATCGATGTTTGTACTACCGTACTGGTATAACACGTTCTGAATTGACAGGAAAACGATGGAAATTAATAAATGCACCGTTGCAATTGAGTAGAGCAAGTAGCAACGCTAGTTTGTCATCTAGCAACAGACACAGCACTTGCGGCACACCACAACAACAACGTCATCAAAGCTGGAGTTCCTTGGTAGGAATATTAACGTTGTCTATCATTTGACATCTAAATCACTCGATACTCGCGTAATAAAATAAAGTTTAATGAATTTGTAATATTATTTTATAATGATACATAATTATTATATGATATACATATATTATATTATGTGATATTGAATTTCGAGCGTGTTTTTTGTCTTTATTTATAGAATCGCCCTCATAGTACTAGTGAAGGTACAATGTTAATTAGAGAATGGGAAGAGCAATCACGTTCGGCACCAACACCCACGTCTTTAAAATTGTGGCAACGTACCGGTGACGGCATATCCGCAAAAAATACTCAACAAACATCTTTTGAAGATATATATCTAAATGAAGAGAAAAAGAGGTAAAAGTTTACGTTTACCTTTATAAAATATAATAATAACTAAACGGTACATAATAATAACAATGTAAGTGTAAATGTTCCGTGTTACAGATCTACAAATTCTGTAGACACAAGTGACTTAAATGAAGCGAGTGTTGCTAATATAACTATATCTAATGAATCTTTAGCAAAAAGTGGAGAATCAATAATTGTCTCGGGAAAAGGAATGGGCAGTACTGTCAAGGTTAAAATGTTTTTAGAATTGAGATTAAAAATACTGATTGATATACATAAGACATAAAAGAAAGAATCCTTTTCATACATAAGACATAAGACATAAAAGAAAAAATTCCTTTTTGATGAATTATCTATTCTAATAGATTAATCCTGCTGCTTGGAGTCCTGTTCATTCTGTCGGTTCTATGGTAGGTGTTGAAGCGCATCCAGAAACCGATGGAAGTGTATTTGACCCAGATTTGACTGGAGATTCTGGAGTGTATGGCGAAGATGAAAGTGCAGGGATAATATATTGGGCCGAATGTGATGTGTTGTGGTATAAAGTAGAAGCTGGGGCATGCTTCGTCGATCCAACAAATCCACCCAAATGGTAAAATGTTGAATTCTATTTAAATAATGTCATCATGTATAGTCTTAGTTATGTATTAAATAAATGTATTATATAATTAACATTGGAATTTTTTTAAGAATTTAGAATTATAAATTTATATAATGTTTTTTTATTGGATAGGATTGCTGACAGCAATAGTGCAACGCAAAGAGAAATTGAAGAACTGTGGAGAATAAATATTTTAGATGAATTAAAAGCGAGATTAAAGAAAATATCATTTGATTCGTTGATAGTGTATGAAAAAGCAGTTGAAAAGTAAGTAAAAGATTGATAAGTTATGTAGCATCAGTTTTACATGAAACATTTCTTACTCGATGGTTTGTTATAGATCATCTTGGGTGAAAAGTGGTGACAGTAAATGTAAAATTAAAAACGGCAGTCTATACGAAGATTGCAAGATTGAACTGGAATGGATAAGCAGCGATATTGGATTATTAGATTCTGGAACTTTAATCATATTAAATTCAGATGGAGTAACAAGCGTAGTACGTTGATTATTAAAATCAAAATCTTTCTAAATTCGTAATGCACGATTCTAAATGCTTTATAACGCAGTAGTAATAATATTACAGATACAATTTCCTGTCTCGGAAATTACATGTGTCGTTTGCTGCAGTGAACCGGGTAATCCAAAGGTAGCAGTTCATACTCCTAAATTAAGTCGTTCGAAAGTCATTAGATTACAATTTGCCAGTGATACAGAAATGGAAGACTGGTTGGCGCATTTAACTTCTGGTAAGGACAACACACATAAGGACTATTAGTACATATCAGAAGCATATAGGAAGGATAAGGATATTCTTTTTATTTTTTATTGCAGTATCTTGTCAGATGAATAATGTATATGGCAGACCTGGTCCGAATTCCATTTGGACCACAACTGCGTTAGGTGACGTGTATGTATTCGATCCTGCAATTGCAGAGGTAAAGCACAGACACGGCTATGTTATATATGTTAATCGAAAAGAATCCTATATGTTACTTCAGTCTTATTATGTATTTATGTATTACGTTATTTTATTGCTTAGGAATGTCAATTATCTGAAGACGGATACGTACAAGAAATGGACATTGCTGGTAAAAATTTACCATTTGAGAGCATATTACAAAATGGTTTTGGATATGGTAGTACTCTAAGAATTACAGTATGCGTTCATGATGACGCTGACAGGTAAATTAAATGTATTAAATCTAACAGCTGTATATCTCTTGTTTAATTTTAGAGAGAGAGAGAGAGATATATAGCAGCTTGTGTTAATTATTCCAGGTTGTCTTTTAATCTCGTTTGTTATACTACAACATTCGTAAAACAAAGGACTGTGACAGACAGTCATGACATTGCTTTGCATTTGAATCCAAGACTCAAAGAAAACATCATTGTACGAAATACATATCAAAATGGTCAGTGGGGAGATGAGGAAAGAAATGGAGGAAGTCCATTGAAAGCAGGCTGTGACTTCACGTTATACATCGTTTGCGAAGAACGCGGTTATAAAATTTATATTAATGATAGCGAATATACTTTTTATAGTCATCGAATACCTCCAACCAGTATTACACATTTACGTATCAAGGGATTAATGACTTTATGTAGTCTCATATATAAATCTACATCTGTAAGTGAAATATTTTATTACTGCAGTGGTTTTTTTTTATTTTATAATGTTGATCACCTTGACACCGCGCGCGGCGGATGCGTGCGCAATTATAATGCGTGCATACGTACGTGCGTGTGTGCATGCACGCATACATACGTATTTTACTATTTTATACTGTTATATAGGTAATTGTTGAACCCATTACAATGTTTTGGAGACAAATTGGTGGACATTTGAAAAAAGTTGAGACGTGTTTCGTGGGTGTTACTTGGGGCATTGGTTACGACAGTACTGCTTGGGTATATACAGGTGGTTGGGGAGGCGCGTTTCTCAAAGGTACTTAATATTAATTTTTATATGTAATTAATAATAAATGATCTAATAGGTTTTGTACAAAAGACAAAAGAAGAAAAGAGAGTAAGTACTCTCTAAATTTCTTGGAGTGAGATTTTACCGCAAGAAATTCATATCGTTTTCGATTAGGGTACACTGGCTGCACTCAGTGTCAAGAGCGTGTTCGATTGGCAGTGCCAATGCACATTTGGCTAGTGTCACGTATTTATTTGACTGCACGATACTCGCATAGTGCGCACTAAGTGGCACGAGATATTTTGACGGTGTCAGTTCAGTGCACTGGATACCATGTGGTATATAGGATATTAGTGCATCGTTTTGTCAGTATAAAAGGACATACAGGGACAAGTAAATCTATAATTTATATCATGCAAATTATTGATAAGTATGTACATATATGATATTCTTGATATCTCATATATTATTTAATTACATATAGAGAGTAAAAAATCATTACTTAAAGTTATGAACATGAGATGTCGAGGTTATTTTTCTGTGTTCTTCCTGCAGTCTAGTCAAGTCCTTACAATCTTACAACTCGAAATGGCACTTCAGTTTTAGCAAAAATCTTGGCTGAAAATCTTGGCGTGTACTTTTGAACTTGCACTATTCAGTACAACCCATGGAACTTGTCCAGTGTTGGTGTGAACTGAGTGCACACTAGTGCGCACTAACTTTTTCCCAATCAAAAACGCTATTAGAAAGTACAATTATTGAAGATTTTGGGCAAGATAATATTTAGATCGAATAAAAATTATCTATAATTCACTGCAAATTGTTAATGTGAAAGGAATTACATAGGCTTAGGAACCAGCAATACCGGAATAAATACGATGATAGATACCCATAATTATTATGTATATGAAAATCAACGTTGGAATCCAGTAACTGGATATACCGCACATGGACTTCCAACAGACCGGTATATGTGGAGCGATGCAACTGGACGGCATAAATGTACGCGAGAACATACAAAATTATTGTCAATGCATTGGCATTGGGTAAGTGAACACGAAAAGAATCTTTTCGAAAATAAGTTGAAACTCTGAATTTGCTAGTTTTGTGATGGAAAATAATTAAAAAATACTGTTTACTATTACGACATATTCTTTGGATTGGGATAAAAGTATTTTTATATTTTGAAGGTATCAGATTGGATAGTTGACTTTCACACACCCGGTGCTGTTGATAGAGATGGATGGCAATACGCTACTGATTTCCCATCGCAATATCACGGTAAGAAACAATTTACTGATTACGTTCGAAGAAGACGATGGTTTAGAAGATGTCAGCTAACAACCAGTGGACCTTGGCAAGAATTGGGAAATACTAAACTCGTTGATGTCTCTTTATATGTATGTTTTGTATTTTTATCATTATCTTTACACATTTCGGAAGGAATATATTTTGTGTCTTTGTTAATTACAATAGGCAACTGGAAAATCTGGCACGGATAATCCTATTTATGTTTGGGCGGTTGCTGCAAATGGTGAAGCTTTGTTCAGACGAGGTGTCTCGGAATCTTGTCCGATGGTACAATTATTTAAATTGTTTTTAACTTTTTTTTACATACAATACTATATATATATTATATATATAATATGTATGCGCGTGTACATAAAATTGTTTATTGATTATGCATAATATACAATATGTAGTATATAAGGTAATTTCTAATGAGCAAAGTACTTAACCGTTAAGTTATATGTATAGCGATACTTTTGACCTGTTTGACATGTTTCACATATTAAATAGGGAGTATCATGGGAACATATACCAAGTGATCAGCCCTTAATTAGCATATCGTGCGGTCCATGTGGACAAGTCTGGGCTATTGGAAAGAACGGTTCCTCCTGTTGGAGACTAGGCATTAGTGCTGCAAAACCGACTGGTATAAAATTTACAAAAAATTATTACGATATATATGTATATAATAACTATAATTACTACAATACTTTTATTACATCTAATAGATAATTTAAAATAATTAATCAAAATATTTAATCAAAAACTTTAAGATAATCGATATTTTGTAAAAAAATTAGGTATACAATGGCAAAATGTCGAGCCACCTTCAGGCGCTCAGTTGAAGCAAATTTCAGTAGGACATGATGTTGTATGGGCCTTAGATACGATTGGTCGATTGTCAGTACGCCGAGAAGTACAATCCAATGTTTTCCCCGAGGGAACTCATTGGCAAACATTACCTGCTATGCCAAACGATCCCATTCATATAGGTATCGAGTACCTGCACTCCTCCCTTTCATCTCTCTTCTATTTCATTGTTCAAAATAACATGTTAATACATTCGTAGATATGTCAGTCGCAAATGCTAAGCAAGGATTCCGACATGTATCCGTTTCGAGGGAGCAAGGACAAGTTTGGGCAGTTTCGGGAGCCGGTATTATTTGTCGAAGAATTGGTGTTACTCATGAAAATCCAGCTGGAACCGGATGGGTAACCGGTATAGGGGTAAGTAATAAAAACAAGTTTCAACGAGCTAAAAATTTATTTAAAAGTACAGAAAATACAGTGTGTAATGATTGCATGAAACTAACAAAAGATCGAAATTAGAATTTTTTTCTAATAACTTGCTATCAATTGGTAAATATAGATAAATGACTATATACTCTTTTTTAATACCTAGTGACAAAAGTGATATCACTTTTCATACTTGAAATAATTGCATCACTTGAGCGCAATATTAATCTGGAAAAAATGCAAAATTTTTCTTTCAATATACTGTCTCATAATTTACGTGATATTAAAGAAAATGAAATTTTGATTTTTTCCTAACAGGCAAACTGGCAAAATATAAGTCTTGGAGGACTTGTAAATAAAACAAAATAATCTTTATTACGTATATTAATACTGCGTTATATAAATAATTGCGTATATTAAAAGCTACGATAATATTAAATAATTAACAACTTTATGATTGCCTTGTAAAGTGTAATATCGCATGCGTACACATGTATAAGAACACAGAGGTGTCCATGCCAACACAATGTTGTTAATTTGTAATCAATAATCGTAATGGTATAAGACAAATTACTTGACATCATCACATTGAAAACTTTTTCCACAATATGATGGGTATTAAAGAAGTGTTGAAACGAGAGAGAGAGAGAGAGAGAGAGAGAGAAAATTAAATAGTTTATAAAATAAGATATATAAAAGAATACACATGTACATCATTTAAATTACTTCTTGAGTTACAATTTACATCAGAATATACTTATACGATAAAATAATAATGTCATTGTGTGTGTAAACATTTTGTTATTTTTTTAGTAGTTAGAATATAACAGATAAACGGATAAATGTAGTAATATCTGTGACTAGTAAAATAGCCCAAAAAATGCTTACAGATATACAATAAAATTAAAAAATACTTTTCTGTGATTGTGTAAACATTCCAATGAGCGTAACAATATTTATTAAATGATACTTGAGAGCTACTTTTACCAATTTTATGAACCAAGAAACTCATAAATTCTTATTATAATCACAGCGCTCAATGTTACCAATAAAATGTTACGACAATAGTTATTAATTTTATTTTTTCTTACAGCCAATATGTATTTCGTTAAATTTTTTACAGATAAAATGTAAAACGTTTTGGTAAAATGAGACTGTAAGAGAGCCATCAACTATAATATGTACATATATTGTCACTGTAATGAAGACATCATCATTGTGTATCTTAAAGTATTAATTTTGTTTACTATTACATTAATGTAAGGAGCGCAAACTATTTTTATTTTATAAAACAAATATCACAATAAACTTTGCTTTTGTTATGTAGCATCGTTATTATTATTGCTACTGCTACATTATTATCATTGTCGTCGTGATTATCGATACTTATTAGTACAAATATATGTTGGATATAATCGAAAAATTTTGTAAAAGAATAATGTTCAATTATAGTAATTATACTCTTAGTAGAAAGAAATTCAAAATTAATAAAAAAGAGATAATTGAGAAAGACGACTGTATTTATATTTGTTGAATTTTATCTCTGTATTGATTTATTATAAAGTCATATGCGTGCGCACGTGTATATTGTATTATTAAAATTAAAATTTACTATAAAATTATTAAAATTCGAAAAATATATATTTTCCCAATTAGATGTTAAAATTAGATAGGTATATTTCTCATCGATCTGTTGGTCGTACTACAAAATGGTTTTTTTTTCTTGCTGCTCCTCATATTATGAATAATAAAAGGTACGTCAAAACAAAACATTGTAAAGGATATTTCTCTCTTTTTTTTATATATAAAAAAAAACGATTTTATCAAAATGATGTTATTATCCTAAATTTTTCTACATATTTTTGTTGTAACTTTTCGTTTTCTGCCTTATCTCTTTTCCCTTGCTCACTATGGACAATTCCGTAAAATCCATAGATGCAGAAGCCTAAAAATAAAAAATTAAGATGTAATATTTGATTTAAGCCTTTAGATTAGTTTTAGTCATCTTTAAATCGCATATTATATATACAATTTTACATGCCTTTTAATTTTACTACAGAACTTACCGATGAGCAACCAAGTAGCGAATCTGATCCATGTAAAAATGTCTAGTTGTAACATTAAATATGTGTTTATAAAAATACTGAGACACGGAATGAGCGGAACGAGGGGTACCTATAGCAGGACATTATAGAAATATGTTAAACTGATAGATCAGACAGATAGATCACTTTTCGCGTGTCGCTGTGCTATTATATGTTATCATAGAATGTGGAGCAATCAAGCTTCTTATAATTAGTATAATTGTGCGAACATTCTTTCCTTTACCTTGAAAGACAATTCAGTCCTCTGCACCGGCTGTCTACCAATCGCTGCTAAATTCAAGAAAAGAACAATCACGAGTATACCTAATATCACAGATATCACCATATTTCCTGCGAGCAAGTGCGCGCCCATATTACTAATCAGAAACGTGATAATACATATAACGATACCTGAAACGATTAAACCATATAAACTTTGTAGATCGAGTAATTCTAGGAATTACTTGGCATGTCTCTATAAACATATTTCATTTATCATAAATATATAAATATTTTAATTTGCATAAACTCACAAAGAAAGGCAATGCCGACATTTGCAATTTTGTTAGAAAGTTCTGTTGGTTCTTTCCGATTTTGCAAATTGAACAATTCCCTAAATATATTTACAGGTGTAAGTTGATAATTACTCGTTGGTAATATCACAGAAACATTAGAATTTTCTCCTTTTTGATATCTATAAAAATGTATACTCCCTACTAATTTTGATTAATTTCACTTGACATTTATAAATATTTACATCTCTCGATCTTGATCAATCATGAAATGTTACCTCAATATCAAAACGCATATCGCTACTATCGTATACGCAAGTAGAGTCCCGATAGACATCATGTCGATCAATTGTTGTAGATTGAAGATGAGTGTCATGAGACCTAAAATGCAGAATAGTAGGTACGTTAAAATAATGAAATATGTCAATAAGTTGTTGGATATTAGGTACATTGCGCGCCTCGATCATCCGATTCTGATGATTCGTTGCTTCTAATTGCTGCTAAACCTGCATCCCGAGACTCTGCAGATTTACATACCGATAAGTAAACCAGAGAGCACTGTGCCATAAACAGGCGTCATTGTCTTGGGATGCACCGTGGAGAGAGTCTTGAATATTATACCATCGCTAGCCATAGCGTACAATACGCGTGGTAAAGGAAACATAGCGCCCAAGAGACTGGTGCAGAGCGCGAATACCGCGCCTATGTTGACGATCCATTTGACGACGGGCCAGCCGATCTCGTCGAACGCGTGTGGAAATGGCGCGTCCGCACTCTAAAGATGATTTTCTATTCTCATTCTCATTTGAAATACAGATCTACATCTATCTCCCATGTAATAAATAGTTGACATATAATATATAATATATATCTTACATGTACTTTATAGAGAATACAATAGTTATATTAGGTATTAATATACTATACTCTGCACCTGAGCATAATAAGGCAGCATCATCGTTAGGACTATGGAGACACCAAAATACGCTATGAATATAACAATGAGGGATAACACGACCGCAAGAGGAATATGACGTTGAGGATTCTTGGCTTCCTCGCCGGTAGTAGCAACTGCGTCGAATCCCACGAATCCGTAAAAACATTTGGCCGCTCCGACCATCACTCCACTGATTCCAAACGGCATAAATCCACCAGTTCCTCCATTTTTCACAGACTCTGGAATATCCTTGGGTGCGATAGACCAGTTTGATGGATCCGCTAGAAGCATATTCGCGCGGTTAAACATCATGTAATCCGTCAGGAGACTATTGCCCGTATTCATAGTCAGACCTTGTACTTAAGGCTTCCTTAAATTTATTTTTAAATGCTCAGTAGCCAATGAAATAATTCGTAGAGCATCTAAAGATAAATTTATTTTTAAGGCCTTTATTTTTAAGGAAGCCTTAAATATAAGGCCTGACTATGAATGCTGGCATTAGTCTATTTTTCTTGGTTAGATAATATATGATGTTCATTTTTAAGTGAAACTCTTTTTAATGATTTTTTTTTACTTTTTGCGTCTTTCCCCGATACGACCACAATATTCTCTCGCCTAAAGAAACAAAAAAAAAAAGAAATCGTAGCGCATCTCGTGCAGGAGTTGCGAACAGTCTGCCG